GTTTTAAAATGACATAAATGTCTAATTATAATATCAACCTCTTTCATAATTTGTACTACTTAGTCTATACACGCAACCTAGAAATCATTCGTACATAGTTGTAGTATCCACTGTCAACCTTCTCGTACGACCACCTACATAATCCTTTTCATTATCCTTCCATTATCCACAAAAAGTTATAAAAACATAAGGCATCTTGCAAACAAGATAAAACTACGTAATGTGATAAGATGATAGACTATAGAAGAAACCATAAATATTGCATTCAATCCAAGGCCAAGATTGACTGATTGGTCTCCCAGAACAATATTTCAAATCTTGGTCCAGGATTGTCAAGATTGGTCTACGATAAAATTTGAAATTTAGGTCCAAGATTGACCAGATTGCCAATCTTGTCCCAATCAAAGATTGGCAATCTGGGTCCAAGATTTCAAATCTCATCCCGGTCCAAGATTGCCCAATATTGGTTAGGGACAATATTGTCAATCTTGGACCTAGATTGTCAATCTTTCCCCGAACCAATCTTAGACCAAGATGCCCCAAGATTAATATTTCACAATCTTGAAACAAGATTCATATACTTCTCGGATCGAGTATGCATTTTAGTCTAGGATTGAACAATCCTCATCAAATTGGTAAGGTTTTTTTTTTTTTTTTTTTTTCAAATGTGCTCATCTAACCTGATCATGAGGAAGTATAATTCAGTAAATTGTTTAGTGGGACTGCTGGAAGCCAGAACGGATCCGGCAGTCAGGAGCAGCGGAAGCACGCGCTAGAAATCGATTTAGCGGATCTTCATGGCAACTTTTAATTAAAAATATTTTCGAAAACCAAAGAGGATCGAATTCCTTACCTTTGTAGCATATATAGATGAAATTCATGAGATCTTTCCGATTATCCTTGATCTATAACGAACTGGTGTGTGGACACCTCTTGGGAGAAAGAGGAAGAACACATTCTTCCTTGGTGGCTATTAGGAAGGAGAGGGAAATAGTATTAGCATTGACATTCCTTAGGGTTGTACCTACAAGTCTTTTTATATAGACTTTGGACCAAAACCCTAACTAATTATGAAAATTAAAAATTATTTTTAATTTTCTTAATTAATATGTTGACTCTGATCTTATGAGTTTTGATCCATGGACACTTCCATGAGACCAGTCAAGTAATATTTCATTATATTAATAATAAATCAAATTTATATTAAAATTAAAATTATACATTTTAATTTTAAATTAACTAATCGACACTATTTAATTTTCTCCCAACTTATTGTTCATTGCATAGTTTAACAAGTTAGCAGAAGACTTTATAGACCTACAGTTTTGAACTCTAATGGTTGACAATTGATTAAATTAAACTTATTAATTAACCCATTTTACCATTAACCCAAGATGACTCCACTAAAGACCAAGGGTTGCACTCTAATGCATTACAGATGAGTTATGTCCACCAATATAATTATATTCCCTCATTAATCCTTCACAAAGTGATCCATGGATCCAGCTAGATGAAATTACCATTTTGCCCCAGATTTCATCTTTTGTTCCTTAAGTCCCACTGGTTCTCTAATGGATAGTCTTCCATGATCTCATCATGGATTGATTCTTCTTGAGGTATTAAGAGCGGGCCGGGTATCATGTTATCCAAGCCTTGAACCCGCACTTTAAGGGAATCACTTATATACTCACTCAATAAGGAGAAATACACACTTCATACTTTCTAATATTGAGTGATTGTGAATTCGTGTAGCAACGTTCCCAACTCCTTAATTGAATATATTCCTAAAACAGTAGGCTTATTGAGTGAATACTCTGATTACCCTCACCCATGTGAGTCAAAGAACACACTCGCATAGGTAGGAGTTCATAACACACTCAAGACTAAGATTAAATGAGCATATAATCATTATATTGATGTTTTTGCAATTTCTATAACAATATTATAAGAAAATACAAGACACATCGCAATCCAGTCTTATACAAATTCATTGTATATGATACCTTCACACTCATGTCTCTACATTAACGATTAGGATTAAATCATTTGTAACTTTACAAAGTTGGTCGTATCAACAGTATTAGCAAGATAAAACATCCAACCTTATCCATATACTGTAGACTCTTGAAGTTACTACTTGAACATATTCCTCCGCATGTCAATTACATATTGTTCAAGTTTGCACTACTAAAATTGCATTTTCATAAGATGCATAATACATATTGCACATGAAAAATAAGTAAATTATTTAATTGTTAAATTATGAGGCTTTAAAACATAAATCACAATAGGGACTTCTTCAAGATCAGCCTACATGGGGCGAAAGAGGAGAAGAAATTTGGGTATGAAAAAAATAGCAATGATTGAAAGGTCAAATATTTAATGATAAAAAGGTTGTAGGACCTACCTTGTCAAAATGTGGATCAGTGTTGGACTGAAACTTGGACAATATGGGGACAATGTTAAACATGTGAAGAATAATTTGAGAGGTGATGAAGAATGTGAGTTGTTTTTTGAAATTGCCAAAAAGAAGAAAAACAAGAGTATTCAAAATTTGAAAAATTAATAGTTGGGTGAAGAGTTGGTTGTTACCACGGTGAGAATTTATTAGCCTTATTTATTATACTAACGGCAAATTAATATTTTCATAGGTGCAAAATGTAAAAAAAGGTAAAAAAAAAATGTTGAGAGGTCACAAATACAAATCTATACTATATATAAATGAGGCTATAGAGAAGAATTTTTACCTATTCATTTTTCCCTTACTATTTCAATAAATACATGTTTTGCCTTTCATATTTCTATAAGATGCGTTCAGGTCGAGGTGTCTGTTGAGAGCAACAGTGTATCCATTCGCATATGGATGTCAATAATATTGATAATTATTTATATAAAACCAAAAGACAACTTATTTTTTTTAGAGATGGAAGTTAATCTTCAAGATGTCGCTGTTCGACGAAATGATACGTCTATTATGGAGTGACTACAAACCATTTATAAAATGAAAGAGAACGAAATATTGGTCCTACAGTGTATTTTTTTCTTTCCCCAAAATGTCTATGAATGTTTTTTCTTTTACCAGAGAATTCAAACAGTTTCTCCCTCATTTATTCTTTTTTCTCTTGAAATAGGATAAGCATTATCCCTTGAGTAAAAGGAGGATTGCTACAGTGATTTGGGCGGTTGATGGTCTCTTCCGAGTTTCGTTGTTCTTTAAACTTTTTTTAGTCGATGAAGAGGTAGAGTATAAAATTATATTTAATGGTCGTGTATATCTTAATATGTCTCTCTATTTGATCATGATGTGGATAGTTTTGACAAATATTTTCTATACAGTGATCATTTTCTGAGTGTTCTTGTATTTGACAAAGATCTGTCAATTGATATATAAGATTTAGTATTAGATATAGGAATATGTGATTCCATATGCTCTTTCTTTCTTAATTTTAAGAGAGATATTACGATATAAAAAAAATGGGAGATGATAAATTAGACATAAACATTAAAAGGATGTCTATCTCTTGATTTCTATCGGTTTGATCTTGACTACTTTTGAACTTTATATTTTTACCAATTTTAAAATATAACTCAATATCTCTTTTTATGAAATAATACTAAGGAGATTTTTTTTTCAAAAGCTAAAAGATTTATCACATTTTTAAATAGTGATTCCACAAAATCTATTCAATGGAAAAGGAAAAAAAATGAAAACCCCAAAGTATCTTTAAATTTAATAGTTATTTTCCATGATTCACATCATTCACATTTTTCTTTTCTTAAATTTCTATTTTTTTTTTCTTAAATCATGTATAACTTTCTAAAAAATGAAGATTAATAAAAAAATTTATATTGACTATGAAAATGAATTTCTATTTTTTTTTTTCTTAAATCATGTATAACTTTCTAAAAAATGAAGATTAATAAAAAAATTTATATTGACTATGAAAATGAAAAATTTTCATCTAGAAAAGATGGTTGATGAAATATATGTGCTTCATTTTTTAATTTTCTCAAGAATCAAACTCTTGGAATAAGATTAAACAATTTCCAAGTAAACAATTTTAGTTCACACAACTATATTTACTTAAATTTTAGTCTATTATGTTATTGATCATTTATCTCTCTTTAATTATATCATTTATCTCTCTTTCATTATTTTTTAAATCCATGTTAAATATTTGGTTAAGAAAAATTCAATGTCATATATTTAATATTTAAGCATCAATAAAAAAATACAATAATTTAGATCTAAAATTATTTATATTTAAAAAATTTTAATTCACGTGCAAGACACGTTAATCTAACTAGTTTTTAAAAGAGCAAAAAATCATAATATAAAATTATGGTTACATTTCAAAACATATATTGAATGTAGTATCGTATTGAAATTGTAATAGAAAAATGATATTAAAAAATAAAATTAAGAGATCAAAATAGTCACTTTTTAAGAGTACAAGGACCAAACATTGAATGTACAGGGACTAAAATGAACCAAAGTTAGAAATACAATGTCTAAAATTAACCAAAGTTAAAATACAACGATTAAAATGAGCCAAAGTTAAAAGTGCATGGACCAAATGAACATTTTAAAACTAAGAACCAAATTGAAGTTGGAAAGTACAGGATTAAAAGATAATTTTAACCCTTTTTTTATTATGGTGAGAATGTAGGCTTTGTTCGTTTCCAAAATTGCAAGCTCTTTATGGATTATGCAAGAAAAATGTGTGAAAATATTTAATTCAAAAAGTTTTGAACTTATAATTCTTCATAACTCTGTTGATTTTATAATTATTGTTTATATGTTACTTTTGAAAAATTTGAATAGATACAACAAAGTTAAAATAAAACAAGCAATAAGGATACAACATTTGACTCAGAAGTTTGGATTTATAAAACTAAACCTATAATCAAGACATGAATTTATTTAATTCCAAAGTACAAGTTCGTTAATCCCACACGATACATATTTGAACTCGAGTCACATCAACTTAGGCCTATGAAACTCCGAAACTAAACATCGCTTTTATAAATTACACACCTACAAACTAAATACATACTACATAAATTCAAACTCTTAAAACCCGATGCTTCCATGCGATCCAAATACGCACAACCTCATACTCTTTTGACAAGGGAATCAAACACTTTCAGAAAGAAAGTTTTTAAAGAGAAGTAACTATAAATATTGTAACAATTTAATCAAATCTTAATAATAAAAAGGGAAACAAGAAAATAGATTTATGTACGTGTTGTTAATCTATCAGGAAATGTCTGTACATCATATTTTGGTGAATGGGGCCATTCTTGATCATCAGTAACAATTCACAAAATCAAATAACAGATGCTCAGCACTTCACCAGGACATGAACATTTTGAGCAGCTTCACATCAAATTCAAATACCAACACTCATGCTGCCAACGGTTCTTCCATAACTGCATTATTCAACAAAATTAAATGTGTTTTCTTTGGGAGTAGAGAGAGTAGAGAGAGTAGAGAGTAGAGAGAGAGAGAGAGAGACCGACCTCTTCTCTTCGTGGGGGCAACAGATGAAACAATTTCAGCATCTTCTTCAATGGGGTCGGCTGCAACGGGTTTTTTGGTGGGCACGTCGGGAAGATCCAACTTTTCAACGTTTTCGTTAGAAGTTGGGACCTCAGGTAGATCTTGGACAGTGATCTGAGAAAAACGTCGAACGTGGTTGCTTTGAGATAGTATAATAAAAGGCAATCGACAGTAGCCACAACTATACAACTATTGAATATATGCTTATTTTGTTTTAGCCTCTAAACTTTCAAGTTCGATCCAAACATCTAACTTTACAACATCTAACTTTACAACATGTGGCATCCAATACTTGTCCATATACACATTTAGGAAAATAAACAAAAAATGAGCATCTTTTAGCATCTATTAAATAATTTATTGAAAAATTATCTCAAGGACTAAAATGATTTTTTATTTGATGTTTGGAAACTAATTCAAATAAAAATACAAATTTGGGATATGACCAAATTCAATTTGCAACAGCCATGGTGAAGAGCATTTTCACCAAAACCTTATTCCCAACTAAAATCAAAATTAAATGAATTTAATAGTCAAGGTCCTATAGTGCTCACTCCTATGTGAGTGAATGATATTCTCAAGTAGAAACCTAAAGATCACCAACCAAATGAGTGAAAGGACCGATTGTATCGTGCAGTATGAAAAATAATAACAAATAAGGTACCCATACCTGAGCTTCCAAGCTCTCAAATTCTGCTAAGATTTGCTCCTCGTCTTCTTCAGATAATTTCTCTCCTAAGATGGCATTAATTTCCTTCAAAAATATAAATAAAATTAAAGCCACAGGAAAGTGAAACATAATTATTATAACAATGAAGCAGATGAATGGAATGATCCCGAAAGGTTAAAAGAGGATATGAATCAAAATGACTCATTCGGTTATAACCAGCAATGCCCTCACATGCAAGTTTATAAATTCTTATGAAATGCCTACATATGAGAGTCATAAACTGCTCATAAGGAAATTCAGAAGCATTTGAGAAACTAAACACCAAATACTTCGCATGATGAAATGAATAAAAGGGCAAGTTACAAAACTTGGTGGTGGTATGCCAAAACCACAAGTGTATTTTATTAGTTATTACAAAATATATATATATATATATATTATAAGAAACCGAACTTTTGAGACAAATGAAAACAAAAGCACATGTACAAAGGCATACAAAAAACCAGCCTGCAAGGACGAACCCCACCTAAAGAAAGGGTCCGCAATTCAAAAGAATAAAGTCTAACTAATAATTATTATTATGATTATTTTTTTTTACAAACTCAAGCAATTCTATAGAGAAATTTGATTTCAACATATTATTGAAAAAGTAACCCCAGACAATAATCAAAAGCTCTTTAGGACTCATCCAGGCCTCAAAATCTTACATCCATGTTCCATGTACCTAGCACACTAGGAGTCTAGGATTTTTTGGTTACAAAAAATAATAATCTTTCTAGCCATCTTCAAATTTTATAGAATAGGTTAGAGAGCTGATAGAACCCAAACAACTTAAATAGTATTGAAATATAAAAGGATGAAGCAGTCATAAAAGGATGAAGCAGGACAACCGGACCTCTAAGTATTCGAGGTACTTGAAACCTCCCCTCTTGAGTAATTTCACTCGAGCCTAAACTCACTAAACAATTGCTTGCCTCCATTCTCTCTCATCCACTCTATTTATAATCAAACCTTTTGCTAATAACTAATATACTCTTACTATCTTAACAGCATTCCTATCAAGAGCCCAACCACACAAGAATCTGGTAACATCGCATGCCAACTAATGCAAAAAGTCATCAGCATGATAGGGATTAACCAAAGCATGATCATATCTCTTCCTCAGCAATGCAATTTTAAGTGAATTAACTTGTGGATAATGATACATTTTGAGTAGATGGAAAGCTAAGATATACATCAACCTTTCAACTCTACGACGTGACTGAACTTTGGTAGTAGAATACATATTAGTTCAAAAGAAGGCCATAAAATAATTTTCTTTAAGAAAATGAGAAAACACCTTACAATTAGGAATACTAGCAAGGACATGTTAGGAATATTAGCAGTTGCATATTTGCATTTACTTAATAAATGGGTTAGAGTTTATTGGTTATCAACAGGGTGAGTTGGGAACGTTGGGAATGAGGCAGATTTTGGAGAGTAGTTTGTAGGGAGTATTATCAGGCTTTCAAAGTGCTTGTACTTGTATCTGTTTCTGAGAATGTTAGGTTTCTGAAATGGCAAGGCTAGACAGTTTATAGAGGAGTTTCATCAAGAAATTGGTCAAACTAAGGAGCATGCTGGCTTGAGGATCCAATATATGCTAAATAAAATAGAAAAAGATCCAGAGTTATGATATTATTGTCACCAAAAGCTCAGAAAGAAAAAGATACCCATACAGTGATCAAGGTTGAGGTGATCAAAACATTGGAGTTGTCACTCAAGGCAAAGAGTTAAAGCTATACGGACAAGAATAGGAGAACCGAATGTCATATACAACAAGAAGTTAAAGTTAGTACTTAGTAAGGAAGGCGACATGCAGAGCTCCAAAAAGAATGATTGTGGGTACCAAATAGGCTAATAACCATGAGAGTGCAATGATGGAAGCAGCAACATCAAAGGAAGATAACTATTGAAGGAGCAAGGGCAGAGAAAGATTGGGCTCCTCCTACCTTAGAGATCCAAATGCATTTGGAAGCCACCATCTATGGGGACACTGAAACTCATACTAGTTAGGAAAGAAGGAAAGAACATATCGAGAAAGAATGAAGACACACAGATTTTCAAGGCACAAGAAATCTGTGAACCACAACTTAAAAGAATCATTGAGACCCAACTCAAAAGGAATAAGTAAGGGTCATGGGTGGGGTAAAGCTAGAACGGAAGGAATATATACAGGTCAACTAGTACCGATAAAAGTCTATCAAAATCTTCAACTTAAATTGTTATAATCCCTTCCCAGTCGTGCGATTGAGACAGCCACATTGAGAATGACACCTCCAAATGGGTGGCAAAGAGGTCAAAAAACATTGGAGAAATGAGTGCATTCCAATGCAAATGCCAAATGGAGAAAATTGTAAGATAACGTGGGCATTTATCAACAAGTTTGATGACAACTGACAAGTGTGGGGATTAATTTAGAGCAATGAAGTAGTTGGAAAGAACTCATTGAGGGTGGAATGAATGTAATCTAGCTCGACCAACCTAACCCAAATAATGTGCATCTTTGGTGGCTTGGTGGAATCAGGTCAAACGCATCTAGGAAATGTTCTTTAGATGGAACAAATTTTAGACAGTTGATTCAATGGAACTCGGGCATGTCACATTTAGAAGGTAACTTCAATGGCTTTGTCAACTTCAAAGGGAGGAGAAGGAGGAGGTGGAGAATTCCTTAAAAAATTTCAATTACTCATTATTCCCCAAGGACAACCCAAGGATCAGCTCGAACCACACTAGTGGGTGAGGGCCCATTTTTTGAAATTATGTTCGGAACTAGCCTATTCTTTGACTCTTAATTAGCAGTTGAGAATAAAGCTCTACCAAGGTGGACAACATGTAATAGTTTGCTAACATATGCAAAGGAGATCATTCATTGGCAGGCGAGAACCTTCAAAGATTGGTTGGAAAATTTTAATAGCAGCTGATTAAGGAACAAATCTTGGAGATGAAAAAATTGATGGTATACCACCACCAAGGCTTCATGATTTTTGAGAGGGTTACGTCAACTGAGATAAGATCAAGAATATGGTGGGGTGGATCTTCATACCATCACTGGTTTTAACTTTTTTCTTTTTTCTGAAAACTTGTAGTTGGAGCTTTTCTCCCCTATATTCAAAGGCACCCGTGCTCGCCCTAAGATCCGGACCCGGGAGACATCAAGGATTGTTGGTATTAAGCTCACCACAAGGTTCGAACTTGAGACCTCTAAGCCAATATGACTAAGAGACCTGGAACCCTTGCCAACTGGGCTGTCTTTTAGGGGCTAAGGGTTTGAACTATACAATGCATTGGCATCAAGGCTAAGGTGTTTTCACGCTTCATAATTCGAGAGTAACATTGGAAGTGGGTTTGATGACTTTGGTGTGATTTGGGCTATACAAGGCATGATACGGGCTGGGATTTGTGACAATGTAGGACTATGCAAGTTATCTGTAATATCAATTTACTTGATCTCCCTGTTTCCTAGATTCAGTATGGTGCAGCTGAGCACCTTGAAAGAGTCTTAGGATGACCGAGATGTGAGTTTCTTAATCATGTTAAGTCTGGGTGTTCAATTTACTAGTCTCATAAATATAGACAATGTATTGAGGAGGATGTGGTGTCTTACTTAGCAGTTACATTACATAGCGCCAACCTTGTAACTCCTTTGGATGGGGTTTCATCCCCTTTTGTAATCTAATACCATCAATGAAATTGTTTCTAAAAAAAAAAAAAAAAAAAATACATAAAGCCCACCTTGAGGACAAGATATGTAGTTAGGAATACTAGTAGGGACACATTAGAAATATTAATAGTGGCATATTTAATCACTTGATAAATTGATTAGAGTTGAGCTGGGAACTTGGGAGGATTGTGAAGTAGGCAAACTTTGGAGGGCAGTTGGAGAGTGCCCTTAAATGGACTTGGGTTTGTATCTGTTTGTCCATCTTTAGAATACAATTAGCATTTTTTTGTGTTCATCTACTACTTTCTACTTTTTTTACTTCATTTTTTAATGTCTTATCGGAAAACAAGCTTTCATTGGAGAGAAGGTGAAAGAATACAATATACATACATATATAAATATAAACAGCCCAACAAAAGGAGTCACCCATCAGCTAAACTTGCTACCACTTACTAATATACATTTAATTTTTTTCAGCCATAATCTGAGATGTAAACCTAAGAAAATAAAATATTCAAACATGAATGCTAATGAAATGATGAACTGAAAAACTGAAAAACTTACATCTTGATATGCCTTAGCTTCGGCAGTATCATCCATCAGCTTTTGAACATCATCTAGATTAATTTCACTTTGTATAGCCTTGATCGCATTATTACCAGCCTTCAAACTTTCAAAAACAGCTTTCTGTTTGCTGGCCAATTCAATATCTGACAACTGAGCCAACAACTATATTATAGCATGAACACATATTTCTAAGGAAATCAAGTTTTGAACATGAATACAAAATAACGAAGGAGACAATGTAATTGTTAATGTCAAACCAGAAAACCAGACCTAGATATTGCAACCATCAAAATCTTGGTTTTATGATAGAAGGCGATAATAAAATTTGAATAGACAAGGGAAGTATTAACAGAACTCACTTGTTGCTCAACATTTATCAGCCAGGCATCAACTTGCTTTAGTAATTCTTCTTGTGCCTTTTTCTTCTTCAAAGCTAACAAGGCCCGATCCTTTTTCTTTTGACGAACTAACTCTTTTGCAGCATTCTTTTCTGCTTCAATGACAGCATCAAGCTAGGGAATAAAGAGTCACGGAAAGACAAAAAAGAATTATTAAATTTTAAAAGTAAAATAAACTTTCATTCCCATGACAGAAAACCACAGAAGTAATTTTGTGTAAAATCTGACCTCTTTTAGAGATATTTACTGGTCTTGGGTGTTACACCCAAAGGTAGGATGCAATTTTCTTTACGGTGATTTGTGGTCATACATAATTCAATTCTATGATGTATAGATGACTTGAGAAATTATTTGAAACATTGTTTGATTAAAATTCATGATTCATAAAAAAAGTACATTTTCATTAAATTAGATTCAGCTAATAGTTTTAAGAGTTTATGACAGCAATTAAAAGTATGGGGAATCTTAACTATTTAGGACAAGATGATAGGCTTTCAGGAGAATTCTTTCAATAGACTTGGAACATCATAAAAGGAGATATTGTAAGAATCCATGTTTATTTAGAAAAAAGTTCATAATAAATGCATTAACGAGACTTATATTGGTTTAATCCCCAATGCTATTTTCAAAGCAGAAGAAACCTACCATAACACATACCAAGGGAAAAAAAGGCCTCTCAATAGCCTTAATACGAGAGTCAACAAAAAGGCATCACCTAGGTGAAGTGAGGTCAATGTAAATAAATAAACAAATGAAATTATATATAGCAATAATTTGTAAATGAAAATATTTATATAATGTCTAAACATTGAACATTAATATTTTATATTATACACAGAAATAATTAAAGATATACAACAGTCTTTCCATTCTATTAAAATTTAAATAATCAATTAGCAAAAGCACCGTATGCCCAAGTTGTCAGTGATTCTAAACTCTCCTGTCCTTTTACCAAAATCTTTTAGGTTTTCTTCCGCATATTCAGCCCTTTACCAAGATCTTCTATTCTTTTAGGTAATAATAGTAATGCATCAGGTGATGCTAAACTCTGATACAGATCTTTTGTTCCATCTTGATTTTATAGGAAGAAAACCTAATCCAACCCAACAGCCTCAAATTTGATCATTTACCACTTCTATGGATGATTTTCTCTTTTACCATTCCTTTTAGTTTTTTTTTTTTGTTTTTTTTCTCTTAAAGAAACAAACTTTAAAGAAACAAACTTTTCATTGATCATTGAAAAGTTACAAGAAAGATGCTTTCCCATTCCTTTAGTTATTCCCAAGAATTGATGTATATTCTCTGTTATGCAAGAATCTGAATCAAATAAAAATGTATAAGGCAGAGGGTGCAATTCAGAGACCATAAAATCCAAATAATAAAATTCAACATGAACAAAAGCAAGGAGCACCTATGGTGTCGTTTACTGAAAAATTAAGAAACAATATGACAGAGACATTTCCACTAAAAAAGTTTAATTATATATTTCACTCTTGGATTATGAACACTGTTTTAGCTTTATCACAACAATCAAACATCGAAGAATCTTTGTTTATAACCACCCCAAAGAGAAGAGAATTAATTATTTAAAGATTGCCTTTGACTCACACATCTGGTTCACATCCACTAGAATCCTATCTTGCAGTCTCGCTTCCATCTGTCTAGTGTTCGTGCCTTGGTTTGATTAAAGACCCACTTTGGTTTAGGTCTTCATTCGATTTGGGTTGGGTATTGGTCTGGTTCGGTTCAGTCCAAAATCCAATTCGATTCAAGACTGGTTCGATTTGATTCAGGCTTCACTGTTTTTTTGGTACAGTTCATTTCTTTAAGATGATCCAAATTTCGAATAAGAGCAGTAGTTACCCAAACTTCCTCGGTTCAAAGCCTTCCGAAGTTGGGCACATGAACTATTGGGTGAATATTCACCCCATCCGGTAACGTCAAGCAGGATGCCATGGGATCAACATGGTCAAAGATTCAGAAAGGGCCAACTAACTCGGGGCCAATTTGGGGTGTGCATGTTTCAACAAATGTCAATTAACAATAAGACTTCAGTTTCATATAAATCCAATCTTGGAGATCGAACACGACGTCTCAACACCTTCCATTTGCAGTAGTCACCATATGTTGCTAAGTTTTGTGCAAAACAGTCTTTAAGGTGCTCAACATGGAATGTCTCTCAAATAGTTAGCAAGTCAACCTCAGCCATTGTCGGCAAGTCAAACACATAGCATGACTCGTGAGATTTCAGGTAGAGGGCTATACACAACCTCAAAAGGGGCGTGCATGGATGAGTGGTAGGAAGTATATAACTAAATTCCATCCAAGGCAGGCAGCCACTTAGACCATTGTTTTGGATTGCACATGGTAAAGTAGCAAAGGTACTCCTTGAGACCCCAATTTACCACTTTAGTCTAGCCTATGGTTTGTGGGTAATATGTCATACTCCATTTCAGTTGGGCTCCCATGCAACAAAATAATTCTTCTCGAAAAAGGCTGGTGAATACTTTATCACGATCTAAAACAATCCTCCTTAGCATGTAAATGCACCACCTCTTTATTGAAATTATCCACCACTGCTATTACCGAAAAGGGTGTTTTAGGGAAATAAAATCAGCATATTTGGAGAGTCAATTAACAGCTACTATGATCGTGTCGTAGCCCTCGAATTTTGGTAACCCCTTATACACTGCCATTTAAGCTGACTAATCTTAAGTCTCACTTATTAAGAGGCAAAAATATTTTTCTTTTAAGAACGAATTGATTCTAATTCTAAAAAATAAATCTTAATGTAACAATATAAAATCTTCTCTCTTTTTTTCTTTTTTTGGATAAACGAGAGTCAGAGTTTTACTCCCCTATATTTAAGGGCACCCACACCCATCCCAAGACTCGGAACCCAAAAGACATCAAGGGTTTTATGTATTAAACTCACCCAAAGGTTCAAATTTGAGACCTCTGAGCCACAACACGACCTAGAGACCCCAAGCCTTTGCTAGCAAGCTAGGTAGCAGGTACACGCTCAAAATGAAGAAGTGTCGATGTCAGACATGTGTACAAAATTATTTTTTTTTATTTTTTATTTTTAAAAAATCTGACATGCTAGGGACACGCGAGTGTCCTTTTTTTCTTTTTTTTTTCCTTTTTGATTTTTCTCCTCCCACTTCCAGTTTTTTTTCCTTTTAGTGTGTGTTTTTATTTAAATATTAATTAAAAATCATATAAAATATTAACATGTGTGTGTTTGTATTTTTATTTAAATATTAATTAAAAATCATATAAAATATTAACGTGTCCTCAGCATCTCGTCCAAATTCATTAAGTAAGATGATTTTGATCTTTACAAACCTTTTACTGCCTTGACAATCTCTACTCCCTCAAAACCTTTCGTGAAATCACTTTATTCTTTGGTCAACAAGAAACATGTTTCATTGATATAGAAATCACTTTCTTCTTGAGACATCTTCACCGATCAATGCCTACCAAGATGAACCTGATGGTACTTCCTCTGCCTCTGTCTCATCTCATCCTCTTGAATTAAGCTCCTTCCCTTCGTGAATGCCAGTTTAGACATGAAATTTTCCGTCTCCTAGTTGAAAGAGTTTTGAATTTAGCCATTTGAGTCTACACATATGTAAGTTTCTTGGCTATCCTTAAACCCTACCTCTTCAAGGAGGAATCCAAAATTGATTATTCTTTTTTTGTCTTCACGTGAAAATCACCTCTCATCCACCTTAAGGCCAATTTCTTTTAACTCCTTTCGTTTGTGTAAAGGTTTTCAAAGAACTCCTTGTTCCAATCCCTCGGTTTCGATTTTGATTTTAATTTGCCTTTCTTCAAGTTCTACATTGAGTTGTAAACCAACCACCCATTTTCTTTAAAGCTCTTCCACCAGTTTCACAACAGCAAAAAATAGGATAAAGGAGCCAAAAACTTTCAAATCTGAACCGGGAACGCCCATACTTTATAGTCCTATTTCCAAAATAAGAAGAAAGAATGGTCATAAATGGTTCGGTTCCTCTGGTCATCTAGTAGAATCTCTTGACTTGTCCACCCCCACCAATTACTACAGAACTAAAATCTCCGTAGCAAAAACTGTATTGGATTATGCCATAGGCTGGACCAAGTAAACTTTGGATTTGTCGATTTGATAACAATATTCCAACCAAAGAGTGGTCATCCATTACATAACTCTCCTATCTAGGTTTTCTGTCAAGTCCCTCTCACAATTATCAATCGAAACCACATCCAAACACTAATAAGCAGTTACTGTATAGGCTCTGTAGTTCATTCCAAAAATATAATTTTTTAATTGTTGTACAAGGTAGGTCATAGATTGTTAACACCCAAAAAGAAGATTCATCCTTGATCATCCTTGAAGTGATTCTGATAGACAGTGAAAAGGCTCCCAAAACTGCCTATATTGAAATCATGCTTTCATTCCACAAAATAACCACTCCTGTCCAGCCCTAAGGATCTGTAAGACTCCAAGAAGACCCAAACAATGTGCCACTCCAAATAGCCATAACTTTATTTCCCTCCATCCTTCCTAGCATAGACTATTTTAGTACCAAGTTCAAATTATTTCTTTTAGCATATGTCCTTTGATTTTTATGAAATAACCAGCATATCAAGCTAATTATCTTCATGTAAGTCAAGTCCATGATGCACAGACCTCATAGTTTGTGCGCTTTTTTTAAATAAAAAAATAATAATAATAAGAAACCGAGGAATATATTAAATCAAAAAAAAAAAAAAAGGAGAACAATCTAAGGTCTTAGAGAAGAGGTAACCCTAAGCCAAAGAATGAGGATGATGAGTCAAACAAAAGGCCTCTAATCTAAGAAGGGCACTCTAATTTGAGGCTGTATAATGAACAAGATCACAAAAATTACAAAGAATCGAACTTATTTAGAAGTCCTTTCTTTCCAAAGGATTCGTAGCAGAGCCCTACAAGCATTTGACCAAGAGACTTTGCCTTTATCTTTGAGGCACCAACCCAAGAGAGTAATTGTGTGAAATTGGAAAAAATTAAAATGAATAGGGGGTCAACTGAATACCTGCTGCTGATATTGACCCAGCTTGCGCCTCTGCGTCTTGAGAGAGAGAATCGCCTTGTCGACGTCGGTGACTTTGGGCTTCTTGACAAACAAATTCCCCATTTACTTCTCCAAATCGGATTGGGGATCACTTTTTTGCGAGAAATGATCGTTTGTTTTAGCCGAGGGATTGAACAGCACAGATGATCCGTCAATCCCTCATACTTGGATACAGTCTTTGATTTCTCTGACGAATGAAGAATCACACGACTGAACAACTGAAGATCGAGAGAAGAAGCGAAATTTGGATTTTGGGAAGAACAGCAATTGGCAACTCACGCTC